GTTTCATTTGTACATAAAGACAATATAAAGGTAAGGAAACAAAAACTCACATCTGTGTTCTGCCATAAACGACTCATGACAACATGGAGGCCTTCTGTCCTACCAACAACATGCGCTTGTGATCATGTGATCACGTTGCTGAACGGCGTGTCACTAGAGGCCAGGTTTGGACACCTCTCGGGCATTACAAATGTCGTCACAGACGTGATTGCAAGGCGACACCAGTCTACGCCAACATAATGACAACTTCATCCGAGGTTTTGTTTGGATTGGTTAACAGCTGGACACGCCCAACACTGATTTGGGCACTCCAAGATACGACAACCGGCTTCCAATGTTCGACTCTCTTATCTCAGATTTACTCATCTGGGATCATGATCCACTGGCCATACGCTGCAATACAATGCCACCTTCATTTTTTCGACACCAACACTACCACTTAGAGTACTGCTGACGTTGACTAAAACTAGTGCCAACGTCTTTCCATTGTGTCTTATTGGCTCAGGAGACTATGGTTCCAGAACTAGAAAGATCACAGGAATCCTGGGCCCCGTTCCACAAAGTGATGTTAGCGCTAAGTTGATCGTAACTCCCATTCTTTAACACTGACTTGCGACAGTCGTAGCGCTAAGATCGCTTTGGTGAACGGGTCCCTGGGAACCACCCTGGGAAAGGCAACTCTGCAATGCATGCATGAACTTAACTTAAGTTTGACAATGACCAGAAGCCTCATATGGACCTAATGTGGGATTTTGTCATCAAACGCCATTGTTTTCCAGATATTCTTTGTATCACATTGTGTCACAGTAACTATTCAGAGGGATTGTTGGTCTCCGATTCTATGGGACTCACGTATTATAAGCCGCGCTGCTCGACCATGAAGCATCGATTTACATGTTAGAGTTGAGGATGTGACAGGGGGCAGCATATTCTTATACACACGTGTTCCAGAGATTGTTAGCAAAACGACAAGCTGCAGAAATAGCTTTCAAGCGTTGCAAAATGTTGTGTCAATATGTATGCGACATGAATTTGGTTATTCGAGATATTAGTATCCTTACATTGTCACAAGAAGTCTCTGTCCCAGGCCTAATTACCAAACCACATGCTGATGAGAATACAGTTGAGTATCAAGGACTCTGCTTGGTAACCAACGGCAACGTGTGTTCCAATGTAGAAGTGGCATGCTTTGGCTTTTATTTTATATGATCAAATGGAAATATATTGTGCCAGGATAAGTATTCTTATAACATAAATAGCAAAAGTCGACAGGCAAGGAATTATTCCAAACAATATCAACTTTAAATTGTATTCTTTTCAGAAGATATGTGTTAACAGTCTTTTAAATCTAGTTTTCGCAATATTATATTTTCAGGTAGTTCAGATCTCGTCTATATCAACAAGGAAAAGCTGGAAGCTCACCACAAAAAACAACTTGCTGAAAAAGATGGGCAAATAGCTGACATGCACTCTGTACGTTGTGGAGAGACGGCACAAGCTCGCCATTTATTATGTTAAGAGCTCCCTTGTTTTGAGAAGAGATATATATTTAGATGTATATGATTTTAACAATGGTAGTGATTATTAAAAGTGCATTTACACCAACGTTGAAGTTTAGATCAAAAAGGAATTTTACATGTAAAAAATGACATAAACTGCTACATGTATAAGCAGTCGATATTTACTTCTTAAACGGTCATTCGCGTTTGTTTTTAGGCAATGGAAAGACTTGAGGAACAAGTTAAACAAAAAGACACAGACCATGCCGAACTTGAAGAACAACTGATACAAGAAAGAGGGGATCTCACAACACAGATAGAAAAGAAGAATGAGGAAGTTGAAGCTCGTAATGTGACATTAATAATATATAGTTAAATATCGCTTCTATCCACAATTTTGATTTTGCCTATTTTGCCAGTAACAAATGTTATATTTGGGATAACACTTTTGGAGTAAAGTACAGACTCTCGTACTTGTTTAGGTTGAGTCCCATACTGCCAGAGTGAGGCACCTAATCGCCGTCACTCAAAGTCCGCGATCATACCCACTCAGCTGTCGAGGCTTCGAAAAAATGGTCCGACAACTGGTAGCCTAGATCACGTACTTTTTGCACCCCTCCGACAAGCGTAAATTCGCACGGCTCCCATGGCTGAAATCAATGAACACACAATGACATTTAGAAAGTGGTCAAATGTAACAAATGTTATATATTTGGGGTAACACATTCTTAGAAAAGTACAGATTCTCATACTCTTTTAGGTTGAGTCCCATCCAGGATTCGAACCCACACTGTCACTGCCGGATAGGACTCAACTTAAAAAAATACGATAATCTGTACTAAACTAAGAAAGAGTTATACCAAATAAAACATTTGAACACTTGCTAAATGGCATTGTGTGTTCATATTTTGCCAGTGTTCACGGTGGTAATGGAACATCCTGGTTTCCAACGGCCTGTCTATGATAAACAACTACATTGTATCATTTCTGAAATATAGTAATTCTATAGTTTCAATGGACAAATGCTATGCAATGTCCGGAATGTTGACACATAAAACTGTTATCTGAGGATATCCATGCATTTTTCTTGTTTCAGTAAAAACAAAATTGTCAAAGGCAAATGATGAATTGCTGCAGATTCGAGCAAAATGTGAAACATTGGAGAAGGTGAGAATGGGATCAACTTATATGTTTAAAGAGTTATTTTGCACAACTTCTAAACTAAATGGAAATAAATTAACACGTAATATCTTGATAACAAGATACATGTCTGTGATGCAGTGATAACTGTCGTTTCAGAGACTACAAGAGGAACAGGAGGCATATGATGCTTTATTGGGGGTTCCCAGGTCACAGTCCCCAGACAGGGTACATGTTAGAGAGGAAGTCCATCAAGCAGGTGCATTAAACAAAGTGACACTCAATCTTATATATGTAACTTATGAACAAAAATACAATCACACGGTAAGTAAGAGCCTGATTAAATATGTCTGATGAATCAGTTCCTTTAAGCTTTAAACTGATCGTGTCACTTGTTTTTCCTCAGAATCGACTGAGCGAATGTGTCAGTTTTCAACTAAGTCCTGTTGTGATGGGAGTCAGCTTTGCCTTCTTCCATGCCTTCATTCTGCCTGCAAGCCATGCATTGATCACCAAGACACCCAAGCCAAGCAGAATTGCATACAGTGTCCCTCCTGTGGCTGTGAGTTCAACATGGAGCAGACAGCAGTGGATCATGTCAGACGCAACGAAGCTGCCTATACCGCTAACGTTGATGGAGAGAAGAAATGTAACTACATCGAAGGAGATCATGATGCAAAGGCTGTGATGTACTGTCACGAATGTGCTAGCCTGCTCTGTTCCGACTGTCATAAAATACACGAACCACTGAAACCGAATCAAAACCACAGCGTGATTGAGATCAACCAGGCGGAGAATATCCCTATGAAGCAGTGGATGAAAGAACCTAACTGCAGAGACCATCCTGACAACAAGCCGCAGCTGTATGACCACACATGTAAGCAGGCAATGTGCCTTGTGTGTGTACATGGAGCCCACAAGGGTCACGAGAATGAAGACTTGAATCATGCCTATGTGGAAGCAAAGGGTCAGCTGCAGGAGCAGGTGCAGAAGCAACGACTTAAACTGAAATATGTCACAGTCAGAATGAAAACTGTCAACAGTCACCAAAACAAACTGGGAAATAAACAGAGAAAGCTGTACTGGAACAAGATGCCACTACAGTCTTCAAAAGTGTTGCTGTACGGTTCCTTCACCGGCAGAGACAACTCATGAAGGACATTCGTGCGAGTCTTCAGGCCCCAAATGAAATGGTTAAAAAGAAGCTGGACACTTTACATGAGGTCCATACTGCAATAGTATCAACGATAGACTACACCCAGAGAACCCTTCAATCCACAAGACAGGAGGAGCTCATTACCCTCACCGGTGTACTGCAGAAGAAATCTGATGAAAATCTGAAGAGGAAGCTTCCAGAAGATGACACACAAGACACGAGAGTCCTTCTTTCCTTTCAAGGACTGAAAGCCCTTATGGAACTAATCGACACATTTGGTGGTCTTGCCTCCAGTCTTGACTTGGATCATATTCCAGATAAACAGCCTACTTTACAGGGTAAGAATGCTTCTTCAATATCGGAACACTGATCGTGGACTTTAGGAACAATATCCTATATCAAAGCTAATTGTTTTGGGTATATTTTAAGTTATCTTATCTTGCATGCCTTAATACCATTATTAATCGATTTAAAAGTATCTTGCTATTCCATGTACAGTGGCCCAGTTTTAATGTAGTCGAACATCCGTCCGTATGTACGATGGGTAAGAGGAAAACTGTTACCAATAAGGTAATCAATCTGTGTTTGGAATTGTCTCTTCAGATCTCCATAAACAGAATAAACACCTGGCATTAAAAGAAGAAGAAACCAGTGCGGTAATGTATTGCTTTCGTAACAGAATTTTGTTTTTATTAACATGTTTTCTAAGTAAGGGTTTCAATGGCTCTTTACATTGAGTACATACATGACTCAAATTGTGAGTAAAACATATGTTAATCAACATGAAGTTGCACATCGTTCATAACACCCATGTTACATGCAGTCGATAAATAAATAATATATGTGGTATGATATGATACACAGCTATTGTGTGAGCCAAAGGTTATGTTCTGATCTCTATGGTGTCAGCGATGTTGTTTCAGCTACATGAAGGACGGTGGCATCGGCTTGGGGAGATGATCCGTCGCATCACAGGTACAATATAACACCTGGATGTAGGTCAGGAAAAGCAAATTAAATACCAAATGAACTACACTAACCTTCATACTTTAATAGAGTATACCAATGTATTCAGTGCATTAATGTAAGACTCACTTTCTGTTTATATAGAAGCAGTAAATAATAAGACTTTAGTTAGATTAATTATTGAAATCCAATACATTTATCTACAAACAGGTTCTGATACAAGTGGAGATGGATCACAGGGACTCCAACCTGAACAGCTGACACCACAGGATCTCCGACCTGAACAGCTGACATCACAGGATCTCCGACCTGAACAGCTGACATCACAGGGACTCCGACCTGAACAGCTGACACCACAGGATCTCCGACATGAACAGCTGACACCACAGGATCTCCGACCTCAACAGCTGACATCACAGGAAGTTTATGAAGTTGTCACACATGTACGTTAAATGACAAACAACCCCCACCCCCTCAAAATGTAAACTGCGAAGTATAGAAGAAAAGGAAAGCATTCAAAATTGTCTAGCCAAGAAACGTATTTAGATTTATACATAGAACTTACATAATGTGTAAAGCTTATTAATAATATGTTTTCAGTTCATACTCGGAGCATCCATCATTTCTGAGTCGCCTACACGTGGTTTATACTTGAGAGGTATGTACTACACGATATGGGATTTAGTTATTTAGTCAAAACTATATCTCGAATGTCAGAGTTACTGTCAAGTTTTAAGATGTCACCAGTTTACTAGATTTCGAGGTAAAGGATGCATGACCCATAGCAGTTATGTATAGCAAACAGTTCCACCTGTTTAGTGAGCGATACTGTACGCCACATACCACAACTAGTTACATCAAACTTGCTATTTTCGAATGATAACATGTAATGCCCTCCTTCGTTTGGATAATATTCATTATACATGTTACACTTTAAAATCGTTGCTTCTGGCATGTCAGAAAATACATAGTTATTAGGAAGTTTTATCTTGATCAGTTAATGTAGTTCACTGCACAATAAAAGGCAAATTGAGGTAACTAGCTTCACTAACTAGCTTGTGTACATTTGCATTCCTTAATCGTGCGATGATCCTCTGAACTTAGTATCATGGATTCAAATCCTAAATTCGACCAGATCATGGTTTTGGCTTCAAAGAACCATATGTGTGTTTGATCAGTGTAAAGCTCACTCACATTTTACAATGCTTGTCATCTGTGAGAACAGTCTTCAGAAACAAATGTGCCAAAATCATGTATTACAATGAAAACTATATTTTTCAGGGTACTCAGGTGCAATTCACATCATCAGCAAGAACAGAAGTGGCATATTCATCATCTGTAAGTATTTATTTTTAGTAGTTCATGTTTATTAGGCAATTGGGTTAAGCAATAGATTCTAGCATACAAAACCACTTAAAAAGTCAGTTGCTTACAATGTATATCCTGTATTACCATCGTGTGTCACCGGCGTTGATCGTAGTACGTGTTATCAATCACCGGTGTGCTGGATGCGACTTTATAATGACCAGACGTCCATGACGTAAACGGAACATGTAAATGTAAAAGAAAAGATTCATACTAAAGGGATCAAAACAAGTCACGTGTTGGAAGCTTGTACCTCCTGCAGTTGTAGTGAGGGATAAGGGATTAATCATGGCTGAGAACACATGGAATGGGCTTCACACATTCGACCCTTGTTGGGAGTCAAACCCAGCATGAACAAGGTAACTCTTTAAACCCAAGGCTACTCCACTACCACTCTAGCAGTTGGACTTTCCAGTTTTGCAATCGTATGGGTGTTCTCATACATGTATGTTTTCTGTGGGAGCATCTTCCAGAACTGTAGAAAGCTGTAGTGTAGTACCGGCAGAAGGTGAGCTGGGTGAAACACAAGAAAACATTGATAGGTAGCACAAATCATGGTGTATGATGAAAAGACAATGAGCTCACAAATATTGTTTATATCGGCTGAGTGAAAAGCTGCATTCAGATTCACCCATATTCTGTGTCAAGTGTCCATGCAGGTTCACTGTGTGAAGCCATGTCTGGTGTTCCAAGATGTGTTATTGCTGGAATACTTCTAAGCTGTGTAAAACCATTTTCACTTACTCGCTTAAAGAAATAGGCTTCAAGCATACAATTCAAATCGTTATGAGAATATTCAGACTCGATTTTCTACAGAAACATATTATATAGGCAGTAAAGGCAAGATAGTGATGAAAAAGTATGTGACCGAATCACTGTAAATTAGTTGATGACACCAAGTGTCTGCAAAAATGGACGTCCTGCTCTACCAGTAGCACCCGGCAATTTTTACAAGAATTACATGTTTTTGTGTTTTTCCTAATGCCGCACCCAACAATACTCCTCCCATACGAATGCGGCCTGTAAACAATTGAGTCCTGCCCAGACAATCCAGTGATCAGTATCATGAACAATGACTCACGCTATCGGGGTACGACGTCCACGTCCCCAAGCATGACCAACCTATCCAGTCAGGTGAATGTCAGTGTGTGGGGATGTGTGAACACTCCCTATAGAGGTCATAGTAGGAAACAGCGTCGCGCATCTTTCGACAATTAGCGTGTCATATTTGGTAAATTCCTCTGAACGTCTATCATTGGATATCTGAATTGTCTTGACCAGGCCTGTGAGGGTTAGTCCTTGATAAAAAAGATTAGATGTAAACGCAATGTGTCTTTCCACAAAACGTGAATAATCTGACATCCTCACTTCAGTCCCCAAACAACAGTGAAATGTAAACGTCATAAGCTGGAGCTGATCTATCATGACCTCGACATTATCGGGGAAATTTAGGATGTCAAAACAAAGGCTAAAAAATCATATAATTGACAAGGCATTACTTCCCATTTTTGCAGCCATTTCCAGTTACGACGGTGTTAGCCAACCAGCCAACTTGACCTTTGCACTTCTTTGATTTTTTTATTGATTTTTATTGTTTGAGGTGCTATCACATAGCCATGCTGTCCTAGCCAATTTGCGTTTACTCCTTGTGTGTGTTTGTTTTAATTAATTTTTTTTAGTCTGCCACCATATATGCATATGTAACACTTGTAAAAGTTCAGCTTTTTTTATAGAAGCACCTCATATAAAGGTGAGGTAGGCCAGTTTGATCGTCGCGTCAAAGATGAGGGTGTCGATTCCCCACATGTGTGCAATGTGTATGTGAATTACATTTCTGGAGTCCCCCACAGTGGTAGTGCTGGAATATTGCTAAAAGTGGTGTATTTACAATATTCACTCATTTGAATCACATTAACTATGTACATACATTCGCTCGTCACGCTGAAGACCTGGTTCGATTCCCGACATGGGTACAATGTGTGAAACCCATGTCTGGTGTCCCCCGCCATGATATTGTTGGAATATTGCTTAAAGCGGCGTAAAACCATACTTACTCACTCACTCACTCAATGTACAAAAACAAATATACATGTAACTTTGATGGTGATTTCTTGGGTGGTGAAAGGTTGTTGATGTGAAACGTGTAAGTGCCTCTGATAACATAGTAATCGTCTATTTCTTAATAACAGCTGTGTTTTTGGCCAAAATAAGAATGAGATTTCATAAATAAAATGTAGAGAATCATGTCCATGTTTACTGAGGAATTTTGACAAGAATTGTTATTTTGGTTAATCAATAATCAAAAAGGTTTACCGATCCTAAAATTCCATTTAATTATTTAAACACACATCGATTGGGGAAAAGGGAGTAGCCCGTATTTAAATTTTAATCTGTTCCATATTTGTGAAACTTTGGGCCGGGTTTGATGACTTCAGCAGCAGGATAAGGTAGGTTTCAGATGAATGTATGTCACCATTATCACATACCAGATGGAAGTAGTGTGAATTAGTCCGGGATTGTCCGTCAACAATGGATACGTTATGCAATGTCATAATAATAATATAACTGTTTATACAAATCATTCACAAATACTTATCCCAGTCAATCCACTTGACGTGAAAATCTCCCCGCCCAGCAAGTGCGCTCAAACTGTGTTCAGTGACTGAAGCGGACGTAGAAGTTACCACTGTGTCTGTTGAACCCTCAAATGTAAAAATATCACGAAACAACACTTTTGTCTATCTCAGTCTTTACTATTATGTATAATTAGAGTTTTGAATCCCTATAATGATAGTTTAATCGTGAAATAACTTTGAAACATTTACATAATTCGGCAGTTGGGGTCTATTAGTCACAGCAAAGTAGGTCAAATGCAACTTTGTAAAAAGATATCTAAAAAGCGTGTATTTGTTTCACAGCGTTTATTATTTAAATTAAAAGTACAGTTATCATTAAATTCGTAGGCAGATGAAAATGGCAGCCGATAAATCATAGCGCTTTTTGGAATCATTGAAACAAAACTCATAAACAAAATGATTCATTGTAGTAACAAATAAAATCTATTTCCAGGTCCTAAACTCCAACTGGACGCTGCTCGAGCCAACACATACTGGTGCCATGTAACGACAGACGGTGAGCTGGTCAACTCGCCGCCCGACACACAGTCACGTGACAGGCGCAGGCTGCAGAAGTATTTGGCCCCGTGTACCTCCACCCCCATCCCACTTGATCCATCCCCCTCTAGTGTCACCCCTTCCCCCAACACACCACGATACTGGGAAACCCACTCCAGGGTGGGTGTGATGAGTGCACAAATTGGGTTCCCTACCCTGGAGATGGGTGTAGTGGAGGAGAGCCAGGTGGACAGTGGGAGGTATGTTTTTCTACAGCGCCGCTCCTGGTGTGTCTGTGTAAGGAGCTGCACCACACACTCGGGGAGTATCTGTACCGGGGTGTGGCAGGAGGGGGAGGAGGGGAAGTGTTACAGTAACACAATGTCTGACACACCCGGCACTCAGGCCACCCTCCACTATGGAGTTGTGCTGGATGTTGGGAGGGGTAGACTGGCCTTTATCGACCTGGACAGGGAGGTTGTTTTGGCAAAAGCTAATAAAGAGTTTCGTGAGGCTCTTCTCCCTGTGTTTGGTATTAAACATGAAGTTGATTAGCGGGGAGGAGATCGTCATGACTGACACAAAAAGATCACTCATCAATGAAGCCCTGGCCTAAGGAATGAACTGAACAAGGCACTGTGTAAACTTGTAAACATGACATATCTACTTAAACTGTCAAATACAATACAACACTAGTGAAGAGGAGGGCGTAGAAGTAGCCTGTTCATGTGTTGTTTGTTGTTTGTTTGTTGTGTACGACCATGTAACAAGGTTAGCTAAAGGTGTTGTTTTCCTACATGACTGGTTTCTGTTGTGTATTAGAAACATTTTACATCCATACATGAGTATTGTTATGATTATTAATATATAGTACCTGATCAGTTTATGAACATTTCACACATTTCTGGGAAATGTTACAACACGCAACTGAGTAAAACATT